TGCTGAACCTGCTGCCCTCGCCCCGTCCTGCAGCGCGGAGCCTCCCCACTCAAACCTGGGCGAGCGGCCCTTCCTCTGTGCCGGGCCCCTGGAGCCTAGCATGACACACATGCACATCCTCTGCTGGGCCCCTAACAGACGTGATTTGTACCCAGCATAGCTGAGCCACTAGAAAACAAACCAGTCTCAACAGTACAAGAGTGGTTAGAGCAGTTTAATTGTACCAAGAGCATCCCAGAAAGGAAATGACTTACCCAAGAGCAAAGGAGCATCCTTTCCAGTTTTTTTTCCAGTTACTTTTGCAGATACTCGACTTTAAACTGGCTACTGGTTTTCCGTGGGGGCCCCACACATCCCTTCTCATCTCCATCTACGCCTTCTTTTCCCAGCTCTCATCTGCAAAGCACATCCCATTACCCATCACTACATTGACAACACATTGTGGCTCCACCACACTCTGAACTGGCACAAAGCTGGCATTGTCACCAAAATAGCCAGTCCCAGCTTGGTGGCGCTCCTTCTCCCCATCCCTGTCATACATGTGCTGTGACAGGTTAGTTTGAACTAGGTCTGATCCCTAAGTCTGCTTTCACTATGTAGCTGCTCTCTGCTCTTTTTTCATTCATACAGATTCAGCTCTCAGTTAAACTTCTGTCTCATGCCTTCTTCTGCACCTCCACCCTTCCCTGGCCTGCTTTCCTCACAGCAATCCAGATGGGGAGCACCTGGTTGTTTTCCTGGATGGCTGTTTTTATCATGTCTTTCCACACTTTGCAGATACTGCCCTTCCCTTTTTTATGGCAACAAATATATTGCGTGTACTATACTGTTAAGGCCCTTCATGGCCTTTTTCCTACTGTCTTTTATTCAGCAGTCACAGTCACTTACACCTCTGATCAATCTATGGCAGCTTCTGCTGCCCTCCTGTTTAATTTTCATCTGCATTCTTTCTCCTTTGCTGTTGTCATACTTGGAAATAGATCACCAAAAAACATCTGGAAAAGCAAAACCATAGTCTAAAGCCAAGGGAGTTTAGCCATTTCTGCCTGGAGCACTGTAACTGTGGGCACTTTTCACAGCCTATGTGCCTTTATCCCCCTTTTCATTTTAACGTGCACAAAAATCATCTTACTGATTATGAAATCCTAACTTTGAAATCCCTTTTGCATATCATGATACCTAAAGAAAACTTCACCTTTAGGCTGTTATGTTAAAATGTAGCACATCATCTGGATTGCCCCACTCTTGCCTGGCTGCTTCTGTTGTCTTTTCCTATGCTTATTTAGAAAATTTTGGGGGACGGTCGATTGTTTTGTGCCATGTAGCACAAGGGGTCCCAACCCAAGTTGGCAAGCCTATTCCTTCCTGTGAATCATCACAAAAATTGTTTGCAGGACTCCAGTCAATTACTGATGGAAACCCACTCAAAAGAATGGAGTACTTTTTTTCCCCCCCTTTCTTTCTTTACCAGGGGTGATGGTGAAGCAAAGCATTCTGCTTAGAAAGGAAGCAGAGGGAGCTGGGCAAGCCAATCAGACCTAACTCCTTGACCCTTTACATTGTTTAGCTGAATGATTTTGATATGCAGCTTTTAAAATTAAGTCACTTTTCACAGTAAAAGAGTATTACTTTTAAATAGAAGGCTTAAATCAATTAATCATTAATAAAAAAAATCAATCCTTTGTTTTCTTCTGCATTTTAAGCTGTTTTGTTGTAGAGAGTGCAATGATCCCCCTCGTCTGGTCATTTACTTAGATTACAGTAATATTTCCACCAATTCAATCCTCTAGAATATATTCATCCATGTATATAATCTCTAAATTAAGTGTTACAGTACCAGAGTAGGTTACAGTTATAATAGCCTTTACCTTAATACATTTTGAAGTCTGGTTTGCTTCTGGATTTGTTTCCTCCCATTTTGGGACCAAAGAAGTAACTTCCAACTTTGAGTAGGGAAAGAGCAACTCCACACAGAACATGTTAAGGGACAAAATGAGAAGACAAAAACTCTAGACTGTACAGGTCAGGAGATAAAAGAGTAACAGCTGGTACAGGGTCTCTGCTTTCTTTCATTGTGGGGCTTCAGATTCTTACTTCAAAGTTGTAGAGACTGCTTTCCCTCACACCACAGCTGCCTGTGCACTGGTCTGCGTAACTATATGCTGGGCAGCAACAACTTGCTCAGCTACAGATATCTTAGTTTCTTTCTAAGTTCTGGGATTCAGCTGTAGTGGCTCCAAACCACAGTTAAGCATGACAGTTTGACACTACAGCTGAGAAGGTGAGATTCCTGACTCTGTGGAAATAAGAAGCCAGTCCATAATTCTGTTTCACAGGACTTCACACAAACTCTCAGCTCTTGGCTTGTAAACAATGAGGAAGGCTTGCTTGCGTTCTGTGATAGGGACAGGAAACCTAATTCAATTACAACTGAGAGGTTTACAGAATTATTTATACCAGCAAGTGGAGGAGTACTCTTAAGTACTGAATGCATAATAATTCTATTATACTTTAGCAAGAACTCTGCTATCGCTACTACTAAACTCAGCAGCAAAACTTCAATGAGAGTGGGACTGATCCCTAAAAAGGGCAAGAAATTATTCATTGCCTATGATGTTCATGAGCCTAAGAGGGATTGTAGTTTGCCTTTAGGATTCATACTTAACAGTTTAATATGCTACTTTCTTGTTTTAAGCTCTTCTTGGGATCTCCTAGATGTAACATTTGTATGCAAAGGTAAATAAGTGGCAACTAATATTACTTTACTAAGAGCAAATCACAGTTTTCCCTCCCAACTACATCTGAACCTAATTTGGCTCAGATGGAAAAATTCAGAAGAGAGGGTGAGCAGCTTGCATCAAAGAATAGGAGCTACACAGATAGCTGTGTTAGTATTTGATTGGTGGAACCATTGATTCTCCCCTTAGTGAGGTTCATAAATCTTCCAGTGAAAATAAGAAAAATAATCAGTTCAACTTGGTGTTCCTCTTTCTCTTTTATTATTTTAGTTCTTGATTCAGAAATACACTGTTTTGTACTTTGCATGTACAAAAGGTTCATATGGAAGGTAGGAAAATGCATAAAGAACCATCCCAAAAACCCTAGCTGGAGGCTGGGAGAAGCACTAAGAATATGGGGAAAGAGAAGTATAAGCAGCTTGAAGAAAGAATCAAATAGGAACCAAGAACAGCACAGGAAGGCCTTCTGGTGGTGGAAAAAAGGCATTAAGACAAGCCTTACATTCATTCTCATACTTTTAAATGTATGTAAAAAAAACACCATAAAGGAAGAGAGAATTGAGAATTATAAAGGAAAAGGAGGAGTAAGAGGAGAGATAAAATACAAACAAACAGGAAGAAACTGAGGTAGCAGAAGGAACAAAAAAACCCACCCACAAGTGGCAGCAAAGTCCTACAAAAAACATTTAGAATTAAAGATTTTTTAAATTTATAAATTAGTTTATTTTCATTAAGATATAAAAGTTATAAATACATGTAAAACACTATCTGATCAAAGAGCACTGAAGCAGTTCATCTGTCTGCATAATTTGACAGAGAGACCTAGAGTTCAGGGTGACTCTGCTAGGATCATTTTGAAGTCAACAAATTGCTTGAAGAGCCATTGCTGACTGGCCTAGGTGAAAGGATGAGTAAACCACGGCCTTCTCAATACAGAGAAGATTGTCTTGAGTTGAAAATTAGCGTCCTACCTTCAGGTCAACCCAAACTAATGTAAGGCAGTTTCTTTTCATACAGTCCAAGTCAAAAGACAAACAAAAACCCCCAAACGATCAAGATAGATTTTTGAACTGATATCTTAGTTTTTCTGGAAGGGTAGAGGGAGTGCAGAGCCATCAGGTGAGAACTCAGCAGAACACAACTGGAAAACACTGCCAGGTCTTAGTCCCAGGCTAAAGAGCATGAAACACACAAGCACAAAAGACATCCATGATTGAGTTCTCTTTGCTGAGTGCTCTGCTGATGAGATCACTAGCAAGATAACAGCTCCCCAGCTAATGTAGAAGGGGCATCTGAGAGAGAAGCATTTTCTAGAGTTGCAGCCCTCAGCAATAAATTCACAATTTACAGTTAAGTACAGAGTTTATGTATAACTATGATCAATAATTTTTTTTCCTGGCAATACCATAAGATATCTTCACAAATGTTCATTATTTTGAAAGAGCAAGTGATATCCACCACTGTGAGGATTGAGGAGACCAAAACAATAAATCTGGCCTTTGGGAGCATGAAACAGAGCTAGTCTGCTGACAATGACAATATGCAAAGTTGGAGAACACCTATTCTTGGTTCAATGGAGGAATACAGTTTTCCAGAATCATCATGGATACGCATAACGCCATGAAACAGACAAGCTAGTAGCTGTTCTCTGCTTTAGTACGCAGCAGATGTGTGGCCTAGAAGGCTTACATGACAGTGTGCAGCAATTCACTCTGATGAGTCAAGGCCATTTGAATCAAGAAATGTTGCATGCTAGGTCCTGCAGTCTCCATATTGTACAATCCAGCATTAAAATATGAAATAGCAGAGGGACACATTGCAGAGCCCCATGATGCAATTTTTTTTTTAAAAACTTACTGATGCCTTTGAAAACACCTGTATTCTCCTTTAGAAAGAGGTTTTCCCTCCTATATTCAGATTAAAAATACTTACATAAAATATATTTCAATAGGTCATGATTTGAGATAATCTCATGTTAAACAAAAAAAATGAATTCAGCCACTAACTTGTTCCTAAAAATGTAGCAAATTTTTATAAACAATCGACAAATTAAAAGAATATATATATAGATCTGCTTAGAGTCTAGATTCAGTCAGTCAGAACACTGCTTTTCAGGAATAGTACTGTAAATTGTAACAATACTACCTTCAGCCAAATTCGGTCAGATTCTATCATCTATTCAATCTCATTTTTCAAGTAGTTAAGAATGAGAGAAAGAATGGATATGATATAATATCAACAACTAAAAAGGGAGTATTTGAGATCTGATTCTTCTTTATTTGGTAAAAAAAATCATCAAGGGATATGGAGCAATTAGAATAATGAAAGAAAACTTGGCCATCAGCCTTAGGAGAGAACCATTCTTCAGAGTAAGAGAGAAGTGAATTATTAAAACCAGTGTCTCATTCCAGCTCTTTATTCATTGAATACTACCTACAGTTGCACAGAAGCATAAGCTGAACTTTTCCCTCTCTTCCTCTGCATGTTGTAACAGATAGCAAAATAACACACAGAGCAAAATAGAATACATACCACAACATAACTATTCTCCTTTTTTGTATTGATCTCTTCAGGAACTTAGAGTAAGATCAGCAGCATCAATTCCAGGGGTACTGCTGAAGATCCAAGGTATATGGACACTAAACCAGTATTTTTCTCATCCCAGCTACAACAGCTTCCAATTAGTGGCCTAAATTCCTTAGCCTGCTCTCGTGCAGCATCTGTTTCAGGATTTTTAAAGCAGCATTAATATTGACAACAAAAACATCATGCATATGCCTTGTTCTTCCACAATACGTACAAAGAGTGCTCAGTCTTGGGACAGTCTCCCAAGACAGTCTGCTGTCGACTACCACAATGCCGTTAGGCCTGCTATTTGCTTTCTAATAAGCCTGCAGAAATTTGTCGTCCAGTTCCCTTCCATCCCCAGCGTGTTTCTCATTGCTCCACCTGGAACTCACACAACAAGATGAAAGGATGGCAGAGTTCCATGTCTCAAGTCTGTTGTCTCCCTCATTCACAGGCCAATTTACTATCAAAGCTGGAAAGTCCAATAGCAAAGGCCTGAAGAGCACAGAGAGGATAGTTATAGTCCAGAGTGAACACATCTTCTGCTACGCGACCGAACTGCATCACAATGTAGTCAGCTGGGGAGAAAAGAAAGACTCAGAGACCAGCAATTTCACATGAAGGCAAAAGAAACAGGAACAAACAAATCAAACAACCAAACCAGGAGTCAGATAGTACCAAATATATGGGGTGGTGAAGGGTTGGTGTATCCCTTCTTACCAAATTTGCCTTAAAATCTGTTTTCTAGAGTGACTGTGTTGCTGGGATTACCTTCTTTCACAGAGCTGAGGCTCAAACCACTCTTTGGTTGGGCAGAAGATGCCATGTTAAATCCTTTTCTTTCCCTTTAGGAGGCTTGCATTTGCCCCCTGTTTTGGTGCAGCTATGGTGACCAGCCTCTGCATCCACCCCGGAAGGAGGGATGTCTCATATCATTTTCCTGATAGATCAGAAGTCCCCAATACACCCTGGGCTAAATTCCTCCAATCAATCTCCCTTCTCCAGGAAGGGTGTCCTACACCCCCCAAACCTCACAAAATATACTGGGATTTCCCTGTTGTAACGACAGCCCCACAAACTCTCCAAGAGACTCTTACGGTCATTGTCATGGACAATCTGGAAGTTCTTCACTGAGGCCTGAGTGACTCTCCCATGGAAGTTCAAAACATAGGATTGAGTATCATCATTCCAGACTGGAGCCTTGTTGCGTAGCTCAATGAGGTTCTCCAAGTTTTTGTTTTGCCATTTTGATAGCAGACTCTCATGCTCCTGTTCAGAAAAAATAAATATGTTTCAGATTTGGAATGGCTCTGCTTTTAAGTACTACCTCTCTCAAGTGTGCGCACTCTATCACTTGAAAGTCATTCCCTTTTTAAGGAAACACACTGACAGCACTTAAAATCTGTCCTACTGAAAACATCTTACAAGTACCAGGCAGATACTTTCCCACATTTCCAGTCCAAGGGTTTCTTTCCCCTCAATAAGCTATCATCATATCTCTACCCAAACAAGAAAAAAAAAAAAAAAAGAATGAGAGCACGCAAGTGTGCACTCCACAAGTCACAGGTATTTATTTTTTCCATAGACTATCACCCTGCTGGCAGAAATTCTTTCCAAGACTCACATAAGCTTTCTCCGACAGGATCCAACTTCCATTTCTAACCTTGTAACTTTGAAACAAAAGAAAAATCATCTAATTTAACTGCAGAGTGCCAAGGCCTAGGGTGTTTCAGTAGGAAGTCTAAAGGCTACAGGGGGCTGTAAGTATGCCTCAAGTAGGTTAAATGTCATCCTACCATGTCTAATAAGAGAATAAAATATGAAACAGAGAGGAAAAAAAAAGAGAAGAAAAAAAGAGAAAAAAGAGGTAAAATAACACATTACATCTGAGAAACAGGGAATTATAAGGCGCTGCCAACAGTAGCAAGGAAAATACATGATGTATGATTTAATTTTAAAAGTTATACAACAAAAAATCCAACCTGAAATAATATAAGCTAAAAGCTACCAAGAAAAAGAATCAAAACTGAAGTTATTTAACGGGAAGGAAATGATCAGAAAACAACCTCTTGTGCACGTATGCCTAATATCGCTATGGCATTTGTTTTAGTACTAGCGTATACAGATATGACGGTGGATTTTCAAGGATAATCAATTTTTATATTTTCATAAAAGCTTATTGTTCAAGTTAATCTACATCTTTATATTTGTTTGCTTTTATAAAGATGCTTTGCTTTTATAAAGAGAACTTTGAGAGTCACCAAACTGCATTTAGAAATGCATTTTTTTCTCCTTTAAAGTGGAGACAGTATTGCTTAACTAGTGATGTCAGACTGCAGAGAAGGAAGCAAAAACAAAACGTCAAACTGCTACCCTGCAGGCTTTGACAACTTTTCAGAACAGCTTTGTATTTCAGCCTTGGCCACTGCCACCATGCTTACCTGCTAGCAAAACACTGGGGAAAATGAGAGAGAAAAATAAAGGCAGGGCCATGAAATGGTTCCTGTACTGTTTGGTGGAGATGGAAATACCTATAGAGAGATGATGAATCAGCGATCATTCCTAGATTCAATTCTCCTGTCCATCCATAGAATTAAATCTTTTTTCCAGACTTTCAGGACTTAGTTTCCACTCTTAAAGATTATTTTCTCTCTTCTCATATCCACTCAAAATATTGCTGCAAATACTATTTTCTACCTTATAACACTGACTGTGTCTCTCTGTTTGCTCCATCCTTCCTGCCACTGTCCTCTTCTCTATCACACTAAACATGAAACCTGCACTAAGGGATCTGAACCAGAAGTCTTTGTCATCCCACACCTTAAAACATCTTCAAATATGCTTCTCAGAGAATCACAGAAGGGTTGAGGTTGGAAAGAACCTCTGGAGACCATCTAGTCCAACCTCCCTGCTCAAACAGTGCTCAGTCACCTTCACACTAAAGTTTCTCCTCACATTCAGATGGAACTTCTTGTGTTTCACTTTGTGCCCGTCGCCTCTTGTCCTGTCACTGGGCACCACAGAGAAGAGTCTCTTGACACCCTCCCTTCAGATATTTATATGCATTGATCAGATCCCCTCTCAGTCTTCTCTTCTCCAGGCTGAACAGGCCCAGCTCTCTCAGCCTTTCCTCATATAAGAGATGCTCCAGTCCCTTCATCATCTTAGTAGGCGTTTGCTGGATTCGCTCCAGTAGCTCCATGTCTCTCTTGTACTGGGGAGCCCAGAACGGGACACTGCCAGTCCTCAGCCTGCCCTGGTGCCTGGGGTTCTTCCTCCCCAGGTGCAGGACCCTGCACTTGCCTTTGTTGAACTTCAGGAGGTTCCTCTCCTCTGCCCAGCTCTCCAGCCTGTCCAGCTCCCTCTGAGTGGCAGCACAGCCCTCTGGGGTATCAGCCACTCCTCCCAGTTTGAATCATCAGCAAACTTGCTGAGGGTGCATTCTATGCCTTCCTCCAGGTCATTTATGAACAATTTGAACAGTACTGGCCCCAGTACTGACCCCTGGGGGACACCGCTAGCTACACGCCTCCAACTAGACTCTGCGCCACTGATCGCAACCCTCGGAGCTCTGCCATTCAGCCAGTTCCCAACCCCCCCCCCTGTCTGCTTATCTAGCCCACACTTCCCGAGTTTACCTATGAGGATGGGATGGGAGACAGTGTCAGAAGCCTTGCTCAAGTCCAGGCAGACAACATCCACTGCTCTGCCCTCATCTCCCCAGCCAGCCATTTCATCAGAGAAGGCTATCAGGTTGGTCAAGCATCATTTCCCTTGGGTGAATCCATGCTGACTACTCCCAGTCACCTTCTTGTCCTCCACAGGCTTAGAGATGGCATCCAGGAGGAGGGGCTCCATCACCTTTGCAGGGATCAAGGTGAGGCCAACAGGCCTGCAGTTCCCTGGTCCTCCTCCTTGCCCTCTTTGAAGACTGGAGGGACATTGGCTTTCTTCCAGTCTGCAGGCACCTCTCCTGTTCTCCCTATCCTTTCCAAGATGATGGAGAGTGGCCTTGCAATGACATCCGCCAGCTCCCTCGGCACTCGTGGGTCCATCCCATCGATCCTCCTTGACCAAGGGAGAGTCTTCCTTTCTCCAGCCTTCCTCTCTTGTCTCCAGGGTCTGGAATTCCTGAGGGCTGGCCTTAGCAGCAAAGACTGAAGCAAAGGTGGCAATCAGTATCTCTGCCTTCTCTGTGTCCTCTGTCGCCAGGGCCTCCGCCCTATTTAGAAGTGAGCCCACATTTTCCCTACTCTTCATTTTGTTGCTGATTTATTTGAAGAAGCCCTTCTTGTTGTCCTTGAAATCACTTGCCAGACTAAACTCAAATGGGCCTTGGCCTTCCTAGTCCCATCCCTGCATACTCAGATGACATCCCTATATTCCTCCCAAGTGGCCTGTCCCTGTAAGCTTTTAGTTAGAAAATCTCTCATATCTATGAGAGGTCCCCACTAAATAGCCACCACAAAACTGCATGCTTCTCATCTCGATTTCTCTCTGCAGAATCCTCTTTTTCTGTGATTCCTACAAAGAGATTGACAACATTCTGATCACAAATGTACTTACACTCTTGCTACTGCACCTAAATAATGCCTCATTCTTTCTGTGGGCTATTATCCATTTATTATCTATCTCCTGTAGATCATATTTGGCTAAGAATTTAAGCTCTTGTGAGATGCAAATTTATGCTGAGAATTGTATCAACACAGAACAAGTGTCCTGTCCATGAGGAGGGGTTGTAGGCGCAACAGCAATAAGATACAATAGTCATTGCAATAGCTAAATAAACATCTAGATAAGGTTAAACTAAACAGCAAGTAAGGATACAAACAATATTCAAAAGGCTACAAATGAGGTAAAAGGCAAGGACATTAATCAAGACCTTTACATTGCACTGTAAAAAGTTTGCTACCACTGAAACCTGCTAACAACCCTTGCCATCAACAAGCTTGCTCTGATGATCACAATTGTCAGTAGCAGCCAGATCTCTAGGAGAACGTTATAACCTCTTCCTCTAGACTGAAACATGACCAAACTCACATTTCGTGGCCGGATTGGAATTCGCTTATGATTCATATTCATTCCTGGAATGATCACAGACATTTTCCTGGGACCCTTGAATCCTAACACGTTGGTTTCCTGAAAGACGAGGAAAGACGTTATTTTCAGGAAGTGAGATTCTACATCTCACAGAAGGAAAGACAGCAAGGCAGATCTTGAATCCACATCTGTACTGGTTTTTAGAGATTTGTTAGCTACAACTGTAGTAGCAGTTATCTAACTGCCATTGTGTTTAACTACTGAGAATAGATGCCTCTCACCATTTTGAGAACTGTGTTAAAAGACATACCTAGTACTACTTACTTAACTTGTAACACACCTATATTGTTATAATGAAACAAACATTTACAATGAAATCAGACAAGGGTGATCTCAGGCATAAATTTTTGCACTTGAGGCAAAAAGATGCTAAAATCTTGCTAGTGAACAAGGCTTAAATGTGATAAAATCCATGGGTCTTTGACTGAATCTTTATCTTATCTAAATATTTCACAATTTAGGCTAGAATGTTCCTGGCGAATGAACGACTTATGCATCTTTAGGCTCTGTTATTTGCATTGAAGAGCATACTTACAATTTTCTCTGAAATTGTGCTCTTTTAGAAATGACTAAGAACAGACCCAGAAAGCAAAGTAGTCGGGATCTATCTGAGCTTCAATCTTAGGACAAGCAGATCTATCTGAAAGTGCAGCAGGAGACTGCTGCAAGTGGATTGTGTATAAAGCAAAGCAAAATGGTCTTTCGTGGTCTTCTCTAACCATCCAGTCCATTTAAGGCGTTCTGTAACATAATGTAAATAATAACCTTTACAATTCCCAAAGCACAGATTAAAAATAAACAAAACAACTCCCCCCAAAAACCAAACAAAATTAGGCTCTTTTAGAAGTAATGTTTAATAGAAATGATACAGCTTCTTCTAATGTGCTAGTGCATCTTACAGACACAGAAAAAGTCTTTGGAGCTGCAACCTCTATTATCTCATTTCAGAAAATCTAGGGGTACATATGAGAACCAGGGTGCTGATTTTATTCATATGTAAACTTTAATAACTTGATGCAGATAAAACATTTCAGACATTTTAAATTCTGAAAAGCTAGCTTTATATTGTCTGCTCGTTTTAACACCTCACTTTGCACAATTAGGCAGGGAAATGTAGAATACTGTACACAAAGAAAACATCCAGTGACACTTACATAAACAGGTTAGTACCAGAATTATAACTTACCCCCCAAGTGACATTAAGACCATTAGCAAAAAGATGAGGATCATGCTCCAGTAGGCTAATAACCCTTCACATTTCTGCTGCTGTAACTATGGTAGAGGTAAAAATCCCTCTACTTGGCTGGCTATCATTTACTGAAGAACCTCAAGTTTTCCTCCCAGACCTCAAACTTCAGGACTGAAATAGGAAACAACGCAGCTCGCAAATCTTCACATAATTCTAGAGTGATGCAGCTACAAGCACCTCCCCTCTCCATAGCCTGGATTGAGGTTATCCACAAGATCAGAATAAGAAAACATCTTTAGGACACAGCTAGTGAATCATGATTTCCCCTGGAAACATACCTTTCCTAACAACATGCTGCTACTGAAATACCACCAGCTCTCTCCTATCCACCACAAGACCTTTAGTCCTGCCAAAAATACCTCTCCTTCACATGGTACCACCAGTTCCTTCTTAATGTCCACCAGGTACCAGCAGAGCAAAAGGCAGATCATGCTGTGTCTGGCTCCAGGTCAAGGCTGGCCACATGTCTGATGATGGGTCAGGTAGCAAGGTCATCAGAATAGATAATGAATGTGCTCACATTGGCATCTTTCCCTCAGTGGATATATTAATTTGGGTCTCTCCCTCCTTCCGTACCCCAGCACTGATTTTTTTTTTAATGAAACTTGTAGGAACTTATCTCTGAGTCCTCTGCCCTTTGTCTAATCTGGTTGAAATTCATTAACTAATTCAAACTTAAGTAGGGGAAGCTTCCAGGCAGCATAATTTTGTGAGCCCAGCTTGCCTGGAAGCCAGGCTACAAAAAGGAAGAGGGACAAAAGGGGAGAAACACTACTTACATAACAAATGGCTGCAAGCTCCTGTCGAGTATGAGCCTTTTCCACTAGACCTTGTGCCTTGATTGGGCTAACTCCATGATCATAGACTGTAAATTTAGTTCCCATGAGGTTTGACCTAACGTCAGATAATGGGAAGAGACAGAAAGAGAGAGATGTGTCAGTGGAAAATTTTGTCATCTTCTGAAGGTAACTGTGCAGCACAGTGAAACCACTTACACATCTCCAGGCACTCCCATCTGAATCTTCCTATCGTCAGCTCACTAAGGAGCTTCAGCAGAAGAGTCCATAGTTAAACTGAGCCTGTAACCTGTCCTGGAAAAGCATCAAGACAGGATTCCTTCTCTAAATTGCCATGTTGAATGGTAACTCTGAAGAAAGGTTGCCAACCCAGGTGAATACAGATTACATTAACCAGGATGAGGCAAGTTCATTCTCTCTGAACTAAGACCAAATTGCTATTCGCAATTCCAACTCAGATAAAATGAAAATACAATCTCTCCTACTACAGAAGCTGTATATTTGTCTCAGTTTTTCATCTGTGGCTCTCACCTGAGTTTTCCAATGAAACTTTCCCCTTCCCGAGATAAGTCAGTTGGGTCAACTGATATGAGGTAATTGGACGTTTTGCTCTTTTTCCGCTTTCGCCCTGCAAGAAGGAATGTCTGAAAATACAAAACTTCAATCAAGACTGGAGCTTTCAAAGAATCCAGGTGCATAGCTAGGCATTGCTATCCAAACTCTTAGCTGTTTCCCCTCACCCATTCTCCTTTTCACTCTGTGCTGTTACTACACTCTCCACACTTTTGACCTCTTCCACAAGTGAACAGCCTGAAATCCTAACCCTTCAATCAGCCCCTTCAACAATCTAGATTTAAAGCAACTTTCCTTTTTCGTCTTCCTTCCTTTTCTTCTGGAAGGACTCAGTCCCTTTGTTCTCCTTTATCCCTTATGTCTTTATACTTTTCTATTTCATCTTTCATTATATTATTGCTTCTAAACCTTGCTTAGTGCCTTGTCAAATATAAGCCATTCTCATCAGCATGCTTTCTCTCCTCAGCTTCTGATTTCTTACCCATTTATGCACTGCTCCCCATTACACCAAAAATGGTCTGTGGTAGGAGTACAATAGCCAAGATACCGTGCGCTGATCCCAATACCTTTCTGTTGTCATCCCTTTCCAGATGCATGTAATAAGTTGGGAAGAAGCCCCGGTCCATTCCCTTCTTATCTCTAGTGATTCGACATTTGATCGTAATACCACGGGGTGCAGGGCGTAATGCAAAATCCTCCAAGTTCTCTACCTCTCCCAGCTGTGCATCTGCCTGAGGAGATGGAGTACAGGAAGCACCTGTTTCCTGTGGGAAGAAACATCATATTAGCAGATTAGTATCAGATCAGAGGCTCTGGTATTCCCCAAGAAAAGAAAGGTCAGTTGAAACAGAAGACTTCATGTTTCAAGAGGAAGATATTTAGGAAAAGGGAGTTTAGCAAGAAGCCATCTGTGTTTCCCTGTTGAGAAGAGTCCTGAATGAAGATTTTTTTGCTTTTAGGAAAGACTAGCCCTTGAAGAGGGGAGAAATTGGGGTAAGTACCCACTAATCAGAGTTAAGGAGTGAATTGCTAGGAAAGGTAAAATGGGATGAGACGCTGGAAATATTCTAAGCAAAGACTCTCCCTGCTTTTAAAACTTTAAATATTCTGTGGGAAATAAGGCAGCATGATAAATTGGACTGATGGATGCTGCAAGACGACAGGCTGGGCTTTTTGTGACTAAAACCACCACTGAGCCTATGCTGGTTCAGGATAGTAGAAGAAAAAGAGTAAGCTGACAGTGGAACTCCCTCAACTTAATGCTGGAGGAGCCTCAGAAGAACATCTACAGTCAGGATGCAAGACATGGTCATCAAAGGAACTGAAATTCTAGTAGAAATCTGGTATAGGGTAAGAAGGATATCTTTGTTAGAGGTAGTTGAATCTAGCAGACTGCAGGACCAGGGAGATTCCTCCTTTACTGAGCCTTAGAAACGGGGTTGCCCTTTTATCCCCATTCCCAGGCCCAGCTAGTAGCAAGCCTGAGTGTATACACAAAGACACTCCTAGACTTGCAGTTCACTAGTGCTTCTCACCACCACCCCTCTCCTCCACCCAAAAGATCTCTCTGAGGGGAGAGTTAGTTTTTTTGCGTCATCTTGGTGAGTTTTGGAGCTTTGCACCAGAGACAATGGACTCATCTTTCTCTTTAAAGGGTCTCTGAGGAGTAGCTGACTCACTGTCTTCTCTTCTTCACTGATAAGGTTACTTGTGTTCCTCTCCCCAGTTCTCCTTTGATCATTACTAGATCTTTGTGTTTAACTTGATGAGCCAGTCAGATAACTTGGCAATTTTGATCTTTCTCTGCCTTCAGGAATGAACATGCTAGCTACAGCAGTTGCAACTACTACGTTTTAGCACAGAGCTCAAAGTGCGAGTACTAAAAAACGAGTTATGTGCCCAGTTCTTATTGGAAATGGATTTCATGACACTTACTGCAGAAGATTTCAGGCTGGTTGCAGAACTAGGCCTCTCAGATTCGGGATACGGTGAATGAGATGCTGGTTTCTTACTAGTTTCTTCATCCTCTTCTGTGTCCTCCTCATCAAAATTCAAACTGCCTGAAATTCCTATCAGAACAGAGGATCAAACAAGCAGCCTCATGAGTTCATGGCATCACTAATTCACATATGCCTCTTACATAGCTGTTCTGCTCCTATCCTCATAATTAATCTCTGCTGTTCCAGCTGACTCTTTTCTTCTTGTGGTATATTGCTTTCTGAGCCTTGCAATCCAAACCACTAGTGACATTTTTCACTACTCAGCTGATTAAGCAGCTGTCTGATTTTTATCACTACTCATTTTACATGATATACATGATTGCTTAGTTTATGCTTTGATTCATGGTTGTAGTATATGACTAAAATAACTCTGGCTAAAGAAATTTAGAAAGAACTTCTGTACACATTACTGTTTGGTGTTTCCTTCCACTTGGAATTGCATCATTTTGTTCTGTGATTTCTTCCTATTATTTGGTTGAGAAATGGAAAAGCGCAAAAAGCACTACAGAATAGGAACAGCGTCAGCCTGTTAATCTGAATTCTTTCCTGTGAACCAATATTATAGCAGTATTCCAATATGGCATTGAATAGAAAGGCCATTGCTGGAAGTTCTCCATCTCAGATGAAACAGAAAAATGTAGTCTTAACAACCTGTCAATAAACTTCCCAAAGCACATTTGGAAAGAGGAAAGGCGTTAACCATAGTGCTCTGGCCAGTTTCAAAACTCATTGTTTACATTCTGCCTCCAGTAATTTCCCCGGAAGTTTCTATTCAGACATTCTATCCTGCTTCCTGTCCTAACTCTTGTTCAATGTTGCTATCCATAGGTAAACAGCTGTTGCACCTGAATAACTGAAAGTATTTCTACATATGGTAGTACCTTAATTCATAAGGTGTCCTGGAAACATTCTGTGAGAAGGTTTTGCAAAATAAAGCAAGCTGTGCACCATATTATATACAAGTCACTTTTATTTTGCTGCAAAGCGCTTGAACAGCATGCAACAAAAAGGTTTCCTGTGGTACTGGCAGCAAACTAACACTTGGCAGGCAGGGATAGACACTCCAATGTGAAACTACTCAATGGGACCGAATAGTTTTGACTACCGAAACTAAAACTCTGAAATTGCTGATTGCAGTAACCTCTGACTCAGGAAGAGTACCTTTCCTGAAGGTCTCCTCAACAGTTAAATAATTACTGTATTATTGACTATAAAAGGTCCCTCTGTTGTCAAACTATTCAGGCATTATACGCATATATATTACATCTGGAATAAAAACACCTTGAACTTCAGCAAAATGAGAAGTGTAGTTTTTTGTGACCCATTTCCTTGAAAAAGCCAGAAGGAATACAACACATTGTCAAACCTTTAAAATATAACTAGTGCTCCAATTAATATCAGCACGTCTGAAAAAGGAGAAACTACAGTTCTGCATTTAACTGCACACTGGAGAAACTACTAGTTGTTTATTTAAGAGGAAGGTCCTATAGACACTTGCTTCATGACCTCCTCCCCCCCCCCTTTTTTTTTTTTTAACATTACTGAAAAAAAATATATATATAAGAAGTAGAAGAGCCCTGAAAAAGACCTCTGCCCCAATATCTTACCTCGTTTCTGTAAGATTTCTTGCAGATCTGGCTTGCCTGCTGTTTCTGTTAGAGCCTCTCCATCATTTTCCTGATCTGCATTGTCTTCTGTTATGGAAGATCCAGCAGAGAGGGTTTGGAGTTTGGTCCCTAAATCTTGCACTTCTGATTTCAGGAAAGCAGCTGGTCCATCAATGCCTGCAAAAGCCAAAATGAAGCAGAATTCAAAACCTTAATTTTTACTGCTACAGAAGTGTCCCAAGATAGTCCCTCATTTCACTTTCCTTTGCTCAAGCATCCCTTTAAACTATTGATTTATTTTTGTTCACTTAAGCTTTGGTCAGGAAAATTGTGAGTAACTTAACCTTAAACATGTCACGCATCAGTTTCCCTCATTTATAAGTATTATGATTGTATTTATTTTTTATTTTTTACAAGGGCCCGAGCAGTAAAGGCCAGTGGTATTTGTCATGCACGGTAATATCCTTCAGTTTGTTTATTTAAAGCTACTCTACCTTCTTTTCCTGTCCTGATGTTCAGGTTCCTTGTTTGCTCCTGTGCCGTTAAGTGGGTGCTCTACAGCAAACATCACAATTGATGTGATTAGATATCTACAGCCACAGGCAGAATGCACTACAGATAGATGTTATCTACTTTTTTGGTAGAACTGAAAATACCAAGTTTAAACATGCAACCCAGCTGTGCATTGAACTTCTTAATTGCAAGAAATGTCTTCATGCCAGGGATTGGCATAATATTGTAAACACATCTGTGGCGCACACAACGTGTAGTGTAGTTTCAGCTTTGAATTTCTTGGATTCCTACTGTTTTTCATTTTAAAACTACACTTACCTAGTTTATCTAGTCACCAGATTTCTGAGGTGTTTACAACTGTTACTACTTCTTAACAAAATTTGTTTGTATAGGGAAAGCTTCAGAACTATGTAAGCTAGTGGGGAAGTGGTCAGCTTTCAGTAGTCCTTCAGAACACAAATGAATTTTTCTAATTTCAAAGTTCTTCTAATCTTTTTTCATCTTGTTTTACTCTCTCTTTGATTTAGAAGCGTCTTGTAACAGAAGCTTTCTCCAAGCTGATTTTAAACACATAAATGCTACCACCTACGTCACCATTCTTCTCCCCAGCCTATGATCCTGAAAGAGATATGGAGAACGAAAAAAACATTTAAAAGAGGATCCCACATGATCTTCAAGCCAGGTAACACTGATTTTTCATTTGTTTGTTTTTAATTCTACCCTACTGCTGATATAATGGTGGTATTATAGTGTCCTACATCTCAAAACCATAGGATGCTTCCTGTTACTTTCTTGATAGGCTGATGGGATCATGGCTTTCAAACTCTTTTCTGATACTTCCAGCAGAATGTAAGGGGTTTCACTGCTACTTTTTCTTTTTTTCTTTATTTTTTTTCCTGAGACATGGAAGTCTTTAAGGCTCTACTACTCTTTTTCACTCCAAACAGAATGGTGGCTGTTTTAGTATAACGCTGTGGGACCACTGAGTCATTGCCTTTGGCTCCCTAATATCTCATTGTGCTTAGGACTTTCTGAACCACTACAGCTTGTTTGTCATGTTCCTGTTCTCTCCCAGAAGCCCACAGAAATCCACAGATGAGATAAAAAAAAAAAAACAAAAAACAGTAAGACCCTCATCTGGTATTCATAAGCCCTCTGTTTTGCTCTCGTCTACTTTATCATTCAGTCATACCCAGTCTTGAGAGTTCTGCCTTGAAGGATAGTATAGGCATCCACTACTGGTTTATTCTCTCTTCTTTAGCCTACTGCTTCTAAAAACTCTTATTCTGGATTCTTATCTCTCTACCTTTCTAGAAGTTCCTAACTTATTTTGGCAGTTCTTTTTAGCCCAACATAAGGGAGAGATTACTCAAAGGCAGATGATTCTCAGCTGTCACAAAACTCAAGATAAGCTTTTTGTTTGTTTTTACATTCAGTATCGCTCAACCATGCTGTGTTACAATTCTACTTTTTTTTTTTTTTTTTTTTTTTTTTTTTTACAGAGAGAGATGTGTACTCAATTTTGTTTCTCCCTGACCACTGTCAGCAATGTAGGCGACCATCTTTGACATAAAGTGCACGCACTGGCATTTTTGGGAAGTGTTGCAATCAGGATGATTACTTACCATGTAATGTAACATCACTGTGGAAAGGAATTGGGTTTTCTACTAAAGGAGTCTGCTCCTCACACCCTTTGGGCTTTGACTTGCGCAGCTTTGCCTCAGGATTTGGCTGTACCATTAAGGGATCAAGACGTTTCTTCCTCTGCTTCTTCTCTAGAAGGGCTCTCTGTGAAGTAAAGAAAGAACATGAAATAGGCATGAGTAACCACATCCAGAGAGGCTGAAAGCATGCTTCAGATATCGGCAAAGGCATGTTACTAATCAAGATCACTGATCAACCTGAAATGCTGTAATCTGACAAAAATCCTAGACGCAGATATCACAATGTCTTTGGAGTGGGACACTGCCTTTGATTCTCCATCAGTGGCAGACAGGGATGAGGACACTTCCTCATTTTCTGGTCTATCCTGAGATCATCAGCAAATAATTTTAACTCCTTTTATTCAGTTATTAAACTGCACTAATCCTTAATATAAATAGAGATAAATTCAGCAGAGTCATTTAGAATCCAATATGAAGTATTTCACAAAGTATATTTTACAATACACAACATGTACTTCTGATTTTATTATTCTATGCATTATCCTTATTGAAGCTGACAGAGTAGATAAAACAGCTCACCAGGACTATCCATTCAGTAGAAATACTGCAGTTATGACTGGACTAAACATTCTGTCTTTTAGGACAACACCTTCCAGTGCATTTAGGGAAGGATAATTTTTCCTCACTGTTCGGTATGGTTAAACTTCATATTAAGAGAAATATGTTCATTGTATTGCTATAGTATAGTATCTCAAAGACTATCAGGAAATGCCAGAGTAAAGATGACAGTCTTTGCCCCATGCATTACATGGCAATAGAGTATTATACAAGCACATACCATTTCTAAAAACCCTTAACCAGAGTTTGTTCATTCATTCAGTTGACTCTGCTATTGAAGTTATGAATGTCTTCACAATGAAGCAAAAGCAAGTCAAGATTTGTAAAGGAAACAGGTTTTGTGACAAAAGCTGTCACCTCACAGGCAGAACTCACAACAGGCAGCTCTTAGAAACTGGTGCTCTGAGATAAGACACAGAGGTAGAGGTAAAATAAGTAAATTAAAAGGAAAGGAAGAAGAGTCATTACTATTGGACTGACTCAGTGACAGGAAATCTGATCTACCTTGCAAACTTTTCCCACATAATTTAGGACTGAAAGGAAAGAAGTGTAAATCCAAATGTTAGTGCTAAAAATGAAGCAATGTTTTTCTAACATGCATATAGATTTGACATTCATGATTTCTTAGTAAATGAAAACAGAAACAACCTCTGAACATAAATCAAGGTAAATGGGCGCATCACATCATTTTAAAGACAGACATTCTTAAATCTTATAAAAGGTGCACGAAGGAGGAGGGAGAAACATATTCCAATATTCTGTAATGCACTACTATGCTAAACGATGTGCAAGTCCCTTGCTGTAGGCTCCGTTTATCCATGCCTACTTATTAGACACCTTATCAACCTCCTGAAAGTTCTTCAGCATGATAAAAACCATTTCTCCAACAAATTCTTCTCAGTCCCCTAGTATCTATCAGATAAACAGCACCAAGAACTCAATCCATTTGAGACAAACGCCTTGAGAGCCCTTTCCTCTCCTGTTAGGCTTTTTCTCTCTCCTGTTGTGTCTTTCCTCTGGCTTTCTGTCTCAAGCAATGGCAGTTTCTCAGCTAACCTCTCCCTAAGGAACCCCTAAACAACCCAATTCTTGATCCTCCTTTATTCTTTCTATTTTTGAAGTATTTTTCTCGAAAATGATATATATTTTTTAAAAGCACAATTGCATTTGAAGACTAGATTGTAATATATTTATTTTCATAAGGATGCTCATGAGAGTAATTTTACCTGACATAATTGTTGCTCTCTCTAAGATTCTTGAGAAGTGGGCTGCAACTAAGGTTAGTATATTGCTAATTGCAAAAGTTATTCTTTCTAGGTTGGTTTGTCATTGAAATAATTTCTGAAATCTATGCTCTTTGGTACTGTTTGTTATTGCATAATTATTTGAAAGGGTTGGCCTGCATAGCAAAAGTTAAACAGAATTTTAAAGAGCTTAAAGCATTAGTATGGAAGGAGGAAAGAAAAACAAGTAGAAAAATTACAGTTCTTTGCAAAAGCTCATCACAAATCAAATTTGTTCTGTAGAAAGGTAGTCAGGCCCCCTAGGAGAACGTCAATTTTTATTATATTTTAATGCTAAGTGAAAAGTTAAAAATTCCAGAATATTTTATAAATCTCTAATAGTGGAAATGAGAGGGGGACACAAGAATCAAAACATTACCCTCTGAATAAGGATCCGAGAAAAACTGTTTCCTAGGCTTCTCTACCTGGCTAATGGACAGACAAGAAGAGAGAGACATATCCTAAAGGCAATAAGAAACTGCATAACTACTGTTAGGCCTGGAAATCAAAACTGGGGACAATATAGAATAAATAGTTTTAAAGAGCTACTTTACTGATTATTAGATCAGATTTTTTGAAACATTTGACTGCTCACTGGTCTAATAATTTATTTTTTCTTATTATAGTACATTCTGTTTTATAAAAAAGAGATTCCTAGACTCTCCTTAAGAAAAAATAGGCTTTGGGTAATAGGATCATATTGAAATATATACTTTATTCTTGGTAGATGAGGCTGACCTTCATTTAGGAAGAGCTTCAGGATAACCAAAGGGGTAAAACAAGAGAGTCATTTCATTTGTTTTAGAAAGGTTTCTCTCTGTTACTTTGCTTGTTTGAGATGTAGAAAACCTGCTAGCCCACTGACAGGACGGTTGGTAGCAGTTCATTCTGTCTACACACGGTGGCATAGCAGCCTTACCTTCAGAGTTGTGTGTTCTTTTGAGACTTACTCCGCTAAGATGAAATCAAAACAAAAACTGTTTTCATTTCATTTTTTCTACTAACCATCCTTTTCCTCCAGCTCTGTATTACATTAAAAATTCATATAGTATTACAATAAAAAAAATTCAGATAGTTCAGGGACAGAGGAACATGTAATCCAGTAAATAAATAACAGATACTGACTATCATGATTCATTCAGGATT